GCTTGAAAAAGCAAGTACTTGTCCCGGTCAAGCCGAGTAACAAGTCAACATATTCTATTACTTGCAAGTCTGGGCCAAGTATCAAGCCAACAAATTATTTTTAGTACTTGACTTGTTACTCGACTTGATACTCGTTTACATTACTTGCCTTGATACTTATTAATAATTATTTGTTAATAAATGAAGCTATGAGCAAATTATCTGTTGGAACTTTAATATTTTGTGGTTTTAGGATGTTTGAACTTGAATATTTTGTAAGAACTTTGAATGTTTGTAATTTGTATGAAGATTTTTTTTATATTCAAGTACTTTCAAATAGCAAGTATATGATTTTGGTAAGTAACAAGCTGAGTCAAGTTACTTGCAAGTCACATGATTTTGGATGAGTACTTGATTGAGGAAGTACTTGTTTCGAACGAGTCAAGTATCAATCCGGAATTTTTGTTACTTGAACAAGCCAAGCCAAGTTACAAGTACTTAAAAATTAGCAAGTACTCGGCTTGTGCCTAGACCAATCGTTGCTCAAATACGATTACGTTATTTTCTATTTCTTACTTTTCTTTCCGCATTAAGCCTTAGTTGAGGATTATGGTATTTCATTCATGTTTTAATTTTTACAATATAAGGAAGGACCTTAATCTTTGTTGTCTCTTAAGATTAAAAGTTTAGGAAAATCACATTTTAATTTTTTGGTTTGTAGAAATTGTTATGTTTTCTTTGAAACATGTCTTGAATCTGTATAAGTGCAGATCAAAAGCAATTAGAAACATGTATATATAACATGCGGATCAGAAGCTGGTTTAAAAGCTGGAGAAAGTTCTGGTGAAAATGTGCCAAAGCTAGAGAAGAAAAAGCTTATATTCAAAGCAGATATCGAAGTGAGTAAAGCTGAAATAGAAGAGAAGGAGAACTCAAAGAACAATAATGAAGGTAGCTTGAACCAAACACTGGAAGAAGAGACAAAACCGATTCTCAATTGTGTATATGTAGATGATTTCAATTACTATGTAGATGATTTCGAATAACTTGGTATCACTTAACTTAATAAAAGAGTGACTATTCAATTTCAAATATTAAATTTTGTCTATCTCACTTTTTGTTTAAAAGATCCAATAACGAAAGACTTCACATAGATTTTTTTTATCATATTACATAGTTCATCCTTGACATATGTACTATATGCTCTCTCTTAAACACCTCCAAGAAAATAACAAACATGTCTAATTAGATTGTATCCTAATTTTTTTGATAAAAAATCTTATCATATAGTTATACTGCATTTTTAATGTAAATAAATTATTTTCCCGTACGTAGTACGGGTGGACTACTAGTCTAATATTAAATAGCAAAAGATGACTAATTAGAATGATCTTATCCATCTAAAATCTGATTTCTAAATGGTTGAAAAATTGGTTACATGCAACGCACAACTATACATGTTTCTAATACTAGAAATTTGTCCGTCATTAAAAATGAATTATCATAATTGACAACTAACGTAATACAAATTACGTTTTAAAAACAAAAAAGGTTTACTGAGTTTAAAAATGTAATCCGGCTAAGAATTAAAAACCAACAATGAGAATGGCACCATCATCTTCGGACTTTCGGTGTCATACGTTAATATTTCCCTTCTTAAAATAATTTTCTTAAATCCAGTCACTTACAATTCAAGACGAATTTACCTGATACCGTGATAATTATAGATGGTTAGAATTTAGAGTTTATGAGGAAATTATGGTAATTAGTCTGATTGATTTCTGATTATTACTATGTAAGATCGCTTAATCGTAGACTGTGGTCATTGGTCCACCATAGCCCGTCTAAGAATAAGTTTTAGGGT